AGAGAGAGAGAGAGAGAGAGAGAGAGAGAGAGAGAGAGAGAGAGAGAGATGTCTTACTCTGTCCGATGAACGGATGGACAGACAGATGGGTGGATGGGCAGAGAGACGAGTGGGTGGGGGGCCAGGCGGGCAGGGGCATCAACCGACAGACAGAAAGAGATACAGGCAGGCAGGCGGGCTGTCATGTGTGATGGACAGCCAGACACACAGGATAAAAAAGATTCTGAGCACTCACCAACAGCAGGTTGCCGCAAGGACTTGCTTAACAACATTAGCAGATGTCCTGGCCAAAAAGTCATCCTGTTGCAAGTGACCAGCAGAAACAAAGAAACAAGTGGCAGAACAATCTGCTCTTCAAAATGCCTTTTTTCACCAGTTAAGATACATATGTTCCAATAATGCAAGGCTATACAGGCAATATTGACTGCATGTATGGGCCAATACTCCACTGATGTAACCTCACATACATTTTATGAAACATCTTATTGAACTGATCAATTCTTAGGTGTTCCTGCCCACACATGCTCTAAACATTCTGCACAGTATGAGCAAAGTTTGCACAGAACAGGAACTCAGCTCTAAGGGAAGCACTTCCTTCTTTTCTTCCACATCTGGCCAACAAATGGTAGCCTAGAAGCAAGTAATTGTTAGTGTTCCTTCCGTCTATCCTCCCCTTCTCTTTCCTTCTCTTCCTTCTAAACCGACCCAGCCCTTCTTCTTCCCTCTCTCCCCCTTTGTAACAGGACCGCTGCAGAGAGGTCGTGCAGGGGAAGAGAGGCTTGACTCTCACATGTACGGATGGACACGGCAGGTTTTGGGGAATCAGAGAGGAGGAGGCAAGGAGGAGATGGACGTAAGGGGATTGAACTGAACTAGACACAGCACGTGGACGATCCATATTGAGTAAAGTAGACACAGCACATGATCATTCCAGCAGCACAGTCAACTCCCGTTGAACCAAGCGTAGAAGCAATGATGAGGGAATCAGGTGTGAATAGTGAGTGCTGCTGATCCTCCATCATAAATGTCCTGGCCAGATGAGGTTTGGGTCTGAACGGACCAGGCTTTCAATTAATTTATTTTCCTGAGAACTAGATAGGCTGGAAAGTGAATGTATTTGAGCCAGCCTAAGCCACTCTCAGCAGGATCATCGAGTTGTGCAAGACTACATCCCCTCCTTCCAGTAGCGAAAAGGCTTAGAACAAGGTATTTGGTTTATTGCCTGTGCCTGACCCCGTGTGACGGCCAGACTCGACTTCAGCAGAGTCCCCGTGCTAGGGAGTCCTTGAGCAGCTTTGAGTGTGGTCTGGATGTAAGTGTGTTGATGTTGTGAAGGATTCTCAGATCATAACTACCACGTATAAATGTTATGATCCTGGCCAATTCGAAGTACACATTCATCATAAAGCACAGTGCCTTCCAATTGCAAAAAGAAATGAATGAACTTGAGAGGAGAGAGAGGGAAAGAAGAAGAAGAAGAAGAAGAAGAAGAAGAAGAAGAAGAAGAAGAAGAAGAAGAAGAAGAAGAAGATGATGAAAGAAAGAAGAAGACGAAGATGTACACCAGCAAAGACCAATGAGAATTCCCTTCTTCTTCACCAACCACTGTCCTCCTCCTATCTCCTCCCCTCTTATTCAAACAAGAAATAACAATAATAATGTTGAATGGCTGAACCAGAATCAATGCACGAATCCCTCTTCTACTGCAGGCATCACATGAGGTCCACCATAGCCATGGCCACCCTTATTCCTCCTTCTTCCATGGCCGAGGCTACGGCGGACTACCAGGGCACTGCCCTGCTGTGCAAAGTACAACACAAAGCAGCTATGGTGCTCTAGCTCAAGCTGCCATGCCTGACTCTGCCTCAAAGCTTCTTGGTGTAGCTCTACCCCAACGGGGGCCTTCCAGATGCAGCGCCCACCAAGGTGATGAAGATGGCATCCACCATAGCCAGGTAAGTACCTCTGGCACTCCTCCCTCCTAGTCCTGGTGTGGCATACTGCGTAGCCACACGGGCCCTGCAGGGCCCGTCCCGGACATTCAGCCTAAAAGCATAAAACTTAGGGCTTACAGGCCCCATTCGTTTCAGCCTGGATGCTGAAAAACGAGGGCCTGCAGGCCCTACCCCGTTTCAGCCTATTTCTGGGTCTTTTCAGACCCAGAGTTTTCAGCCGGAAACGGAGGGCCATTTTCAGGCCCTCATTGTTTCGACCTGCCCCTAAGACTCAGGCACGKAAACAGGGATGCGGAACAGGCCAGAAATAGCCTGTTCCTCACGAGTTGAGCAGGAGCTGCAGCTGCAGCCCCTGCCTCCCTTCGGCAGGCTCAGGAGGCACACCCGTAGTACATAGGAAGTTCCCATGCACTTCACGGGTAGGTAGTTCAGTAGGCACGAGGTAGTCTTCAGGATATCGGCCGCAGCACTCAGGAAGAGCGCTGCAGTAGTCTTCAGCACTAGGCAGTAGTGGTAGCGCTAGCTGTAGTCTTCGGCGCTGGGCGCCATAGCTGTAGCTGTAGTCTTCAGCGCTGGGTGCTGGTAGGTGGTAGATCGTAGAGTGGGAGAGAGAGTGGCGGAGGCCAGTGTTACTTACCTGTGGCGCCATCGCTCCAGCTCCATCTTCGTGGTACCTGCATCAAGGCGCCAACTTCACAGGTTAGTACTGGACACAGAGAGAGAGAGAGAGAGAGAGTTCTTCTGCTTCCTCTTCTAAGTCCACCTTCTCTTCTCACCCTCTCGCCACCTGACTTCTCAGACTACGACAGAGAGAGACAGAGTTGTG